ATCTTTCCAGCCCTGAGTGTCATTTTCAGTAGCCAGGAAGCAGATAGAGAGGAAGGCTGCGGCCATGTATAACTTCAAATGTCCCCTAGTGCTTTAAAGGGACACTTTATATTCAAATCATACAAGGAAGACACAACGAGGAGGAGGAGGAGCCACAGACTTCCTCCAGCTCTATAACCTAGATCCAGCACTCATTAACCCACTGTGAGCTCCAACTGCTCGTCCACGGCCCGCAGCTTGCACTGATGAGGCTCATCTGGGAGTGCCACCATGAGGGCAGGTGTCTTTGCAGAGGAAAGCATCTCTTGGACCATCCCATCAGACGCCAGGAAGGCAGTGGTTGCAAGCAGTTTTTGTCTCTGGGCTCCCTCCCAGGCCCATCTCTCAGCAAGCAGTTCTGAGCACAGCTGAAGACCAGGTGACCACTGCAGCTGGGCCCTCTTCCAGAGCTGCTCCCTAAACTCTTCCTTTTGAGGTTTCTGCAGATCCACAGGCTGTGATACATATAAAATTCCCTTTACCTGGTTCCCGGTCGAACCTCAGGCTGGATGCCCAGCAGCTGAAGGGCCAAGCTAGGAAACCGGCATCTGCTTCAGCATTTACCCGTCCCATCCCATCCCATGCACACGCAGGTTAGGTGATCTCAGTTCTGCATGGCTAACCTGGCACCGTGGGGTAGTATCAACATGAAATCCCATTTGCTTATCCTCAAGTGCCCGTTCAGTGGCATCGAGTGCACTCATGCTGGCAGCCGCCACTGTCTGGTTCAGGAACACGTTTTGTTTCTAGACAGGGTTGATGCGTAGTCTAGGATTCATCTTCTTGCCTCAACCTCTTAGCTGCTGGGACTATAGGTAGGTTTTGCTGTGCCTGGATCGCAACAATGCTTGCATTTTCTCACTGATGCCCGATGCTGGCCAAACACCAAGTTCTAAGCTGTTTTTCCACACATGCAGACACCGAAGACCAGTCCTGCTGCCTGCCCCTGACTGCCTGGGCTGCTCCTCTAGTTCCAGTGGTCAGTTAGCATCTTGAGGATATTTGGGTTTAGAGTGATACCCTTAAAAAGAGAACAAGTTTGGTGTGTTCTCCCACACCTGAAATACCAGTACTTGGAAGGCTGAGGCAGAATTATGCATTTGAGGTCATCCTAAGCTACATAGTAAGACCCTGTCCATAAAGGGGGGCAGGGAGGAGAGAGCAGGGTAGAGGGGCAGGGAAACAGGGATTAGAGTAACGCAGGCACAAGGCAAGGTCACCTGGCACCAACTCTGGAAAGGCCCTTCCCAGAGTCTTAAGAGCAAGGCTTCCTGCCACCTGCCAACCCAGATTTCTGGTCTTGTCTTATACGTAGACAGTTCATCTCTGTCCCACACTACTTCTTGGGTCTCTCTCTGCTGGGCTTCTCCACCAGAGTAGGCCCAGGTTAGGCTGTGTGCTGGGCATTGCGGGGCCCAGATAGCAGAGTGTGAGCACCCAGACAGGAATGGTGGGAGCCAAGCTGTACTTACCAGCGGCAGCCAACGTCCCATGCCATCTGCCATCCAGTCATTTCCCGTGACGTGTGACAGCATGGAGGGAAACCTGGTGAGGTTCTAACTGGTTGGGAAACCTGCAGGCTGCAGCACCCCTTAGTTTACCTAGGCATTTTCTGTTCCTGGTTCTATTTCAACAAGAGCAGGAAAGACAGGGCAGGGGGCTCTACGTGTAGAGAAGGAAACAAAATGGAAGAGGAAGCTCTACAACTTGACAGATAGCTGATAACAAGGCTCTTTCCTGGTATATCCCTGAAGCCCTGCAAGAGCTGGAGGCTAGGGTCCTGGAGCAAAGGTGGCAGGTCTGAGTGGGGAGAAGAGCCAAAGGCTGGGAAACTTAGGGGAACTCTGTACCCCAAATCCTGGGTTCCATCCTCAGTCCTGCTTCCACAAAGTCCTGGGAGTAGCCAGCCAGGCTGCACAGATGCCTACAGACAACCAGTGGCAGATGACTGTCAACAGGAGACAGATTGTGCAGCCCCACCAAAGACAGGCTACACCCCACAGGCAAACGCGCCAGGAGGGAGCACCCAGGAGCAGAGGGAAGCTGGCTTGCTGTGGTGTTTGGGAAATGTCACTAGTCCGTGGGGACAGGTGTTGGAAGATGGGAGGAATAAAGAAATGTAGGAGAGACTGGGAAATAAGGACAGATGTGTGCTCCAGACAGCTTGCCATTGCGCAGCAGCCCCTCTCTGCCCCCCGTGCCCAGGCTCTGTGCTATGGTGGGGAGAGGCCCCCAATATCCCAGATGGTTATTAGAAGCCCAAACAACTCTTTGGAAATGGCCAAGAGAGAAGCATGGCATTCAGTTTAGAGCAGGGAAGTGATGCTATTGTCTCTCTGAGTGAAGAGGAACCCATTCAAGCCTGGGACCTGTCCCCGCATTCATCCCACACCCACACGCACTCACTAGCTACCTTGTTGAGGTCAGAGCCACTGAGGGTGCTGGGGAACAGCACCTACACTGGAGGCCCTACACTGGAGGCCATCACAGCTCCACGCTGCCTGTGGTCCTTCCATGATACAAGGCAGCAGTTGCCACCTCAGAGATGGCACAGTAGGCATCTGTTAAGATGCTGTTACACAGCCGGGCATGGTGGTGCACTTGGGAGGCAGAGGCAGGTGGATCTCTGAGTCTGAGGCCAGCATGATCTACAGAGCTAGTTCCAGGCCAGACAGGGCTACACAGAGAAACCCTGTCTTGAAACCCCACCCCACCTTAAAAAAAAAAAGAAAAAAAAAAACTTCTGCTGCCAGGTAACTGACCTCTGGGCCCGACTTACGGGGAATCCAGTGGAGGTAAAGTCTGTGGGAACAGGTGGACTGGCTGTGAGCAGCCTGGGGAGGGGGAATTGCCACTGCAGACAGCGGTTTCTTCTGGGAATGGAACTGTGTTGAAAATAGGTAGTGGAGATCGTTGCACAACCTTGGAAGGCTTACACACATGGTGGCACACTATGAACTATTTGGAAACAGGGTCTCATGCAGCTCAGGGTGGTTTCAAACTGGAATTGGAACCAAGGATGTGACCTTGAACTTCTGATCCTCCTGTCTGGTCTTTCAAATACAACCACAGCATGTACCACCCCCATCACTACTTCATGTGCCTTGCTGCAGATGGAACCCAGAGCCTGGCATATACCAAGCAACTGCTTTGCCACCATGCTACACCACAGCCCAAAATAGTACAACCTTTGTTTTTCTTTTACATGTATGGGTGTTTTGCCTCCAGGTGCAGCATGCAGTGTCTTTGGAGGCCAGAAGAGGGCACTGGATCCCCAGAAACAGGAATTACAGACTGCTTTCAGTTTCCAGGTGGGTGCTGGGAATTGAACTCTGGTCCCCTTGAAGGGCATAAATGTTCTTACCAGCTGACCTGCCAGTCTTCCCCTCCCCCCTTTACTTATTTTGTGTACGGGTGTTTCCCCTACATGTGTGCACTGTGTGCACGCAGCAATGGCATGACCTGCAGACACTCATCCGGAAGCAATGATGGAACCAGAGCCTGCGGGGAGACTGACACCAGCTGGGGAGACCAGCTTCAGAAACAAGCCTCCTGGGGTGGTCCCAGGATGGTGAGAAAGCACACTCTGGGCATGGTTCTGGGGAAGGTTTTCTGGCGTTCCTCAGTAGCCTGTGTAACCGAGTCCGGACTAAGGACTGTTGTGGTTCCCACGACACGGCCGCTCTGAGGAGTCAGCCCACCCCCCGGTCTCCAGGCTCTAGGGAGGCATTCTGAGGTCTCCAGAGCACGGCGGCCACAAAGATGAAAGCCAGTGGTGGATAATTAATGCTCTCAGGCCTGGCCTGACTACAAAACCCTTTTCGGTGGCCTGAAAGAGAAAGCCACAGACATGAGACCCGCCCTGGCCTCTCGAACGCCAGGACCTTTGAAATTATAAGACATTAGAATAAAGCTTTGCGGAAAAGGACCCCGTGTTCCAGCTGCAGATCACAACGGAATTGCTCCTGAAAGCTGAGGGCAGGCTTGCTGCTGCAGCAGCCCCACCCCAATATCCAGAGGGACACTTGTCCATGTGCCAGAAGCAGGCTAACCTCACTCTAGGGCAGGGGTCTCCCCCAAAGATGGGACTTTTTTGTTTCCATTTGTCTCTTTATTGTACATCTAAGGGCCCTCAGGGCCACATTAGAGCATCAGCTTCCCTGGGGTAACATTCTGGGACTATGGTCCTAGCCTGTACCCCCTGGGGTCATTCTCCAAAGTGCTTGCCTGGAGTAGAGGTCCCGCCTGTGGAAATAGGCAGGGCAGAGTGGTGACAGGACCTGTCACCAGGGACAGGTCCCCTGCCATTCTCTCACACACCACGCTGAGCTGAGGCTACCTATCAGGAACAATGTCAGAAATTCAAGGTTCGCCTCTCCTGTGGTAGACAACATGCTGGCGCATCACGGATGCACAGCCAGAGGTTGCGTGCCTGGTCGGATATTGGGTGCATTCAGTCGTGAAGCTCAAGGCTGCCTTGGTGTTCAGCCCCCACAGAGCTCAGCACAGCATTCTGGGAACAACAGCGAAGGAGCTGGCCCTCGCTGTTCTCCTCAGTCAGCTGGCACTAGTGAACAATGGCCACGGCACCCTGTCTTCCTGACATGCTGGCACAGTAGCCAGCATCGGGGCTCTGCAGGACTGTGGGCAGACCTAACCCCCACAAGGAGACCAAGGACTGCTCTGTGGCAAATGCTGCTGTTGCGTTTGCCCAGGCCGCCTGGCAGCAGTGTTTGCTACCTTCAGCCAGCAGCACTGTCCTCCTACTAATGAGGTGCTAATTAGCACAAATGAGTCAACCTGAGCAAAGCAGGCAGCAAGGGTGACAGGCACACCAAGCACTGGGGAGTCATCCAGGTACCAGGTGGCACAGAATACTCTATACCCTAGGCCAGAGGGTAGGGGCAGTTTAGGAGTATGCCCGAAATTGGTGGGAAAACAAAGACATTGACACACTCAAATATTTGCAAGTACTTTCTCTCAGGTGCTAAAAGCTGCCCACATTTTATAACACGCTTGCGTTTGCTTCTTGTGACTGCTGGCCACTCCTGCCCCATGCTGGCCCAGGGGCATGCAGCCCTGGGCCCACTACCACCTGAGAGGTTGGCGGCCCTGCTCCAACTCAGCCTCCATGTGGGCATCGTGCAGTGCCTTGAGGTGTAGAAGCAGCTGCTCTAGGTTCTCTCCAGTCAGCGCTGACAAGGCGATGACCTCCTGCCCGAGGTGGGCCTGGAGCTGGGGCAGGTGGGCTCTGGCCTGCGGGATATCAATCTTATTTGCGACGATCACATGGGACCTCTCAGAAAGGCCTTCTTCGTACTTCTCGAGTTCATATTTTAAATCATCAACCTGAGTCCATGGCTCAGGTAAGGAAAGATCTACCACAAACAGGAAGAAGCGACATCGCTCAATATGCCTGAGGAAGCTGAGCCCCAAGCCCTTGTTCTGGTGTGCGCCTCGGATGATGCCCGGGATGTCTGCCACTGCAGAGGAAAGAGCTGAGAGTCAGGTCCAAGGTCATGTTTGGCTTCTCTATGCCACTTGTGGGGCTTCTCTACCCCACTCCCGAGCCTTGGGGTCGGGAGGCTCCTCTCAGGGAGACCCCTTCTGGCCCCGATCTCACGTTCTACAACTGTCCTTTCAAGGACACCTGAAACTGAAGTCATTCATCCTCTCCCAGGTGACTCAGCAGGCCAAGCGACATCAAGGCCCTCAGCCCTTGGGTCTGCAACATGCTCTGGAATATCTGGGTGACAGGCACAGTGGATCAATCTAAAGAGCAAGATTTACACATTCCTGTCTCCCAGGCTTCAAACATGGTTCAAAAATGGAGATGGCTCCCTCCATTCTACGGCTAATTTGATTATGGACACAAATCACTACCGTGCACTTTGCAGATAGAAAGCGCTGTACAAACAACCTCACCAGCAGGCTTGCTATTTTTAATGGGTACATTATCTTCTGGAAAAAAGTTTTCCTCTTAAAATGGTACAGGAAAGGCTTTTTAAACCACATGCTGTCTGCATGACTGATGCCGCCCAGTTCCACAGAAGAAAACGAGCAAGGCAAGAAGCAGCCCTCTCCTCAGGCTCCAGACACCAGACTACAATTCCCAACTACAGAGATCAGATTTCCTGGCTGGGAGGGGAGGGGCTGATTTTGACAGAGAACAGACTCATTAAAATTGTTTCAATCAGGGAAAACAATGTCTCATTTTAAGTGGGAAGCTAAATTCAGGGGTTACATAATTGCTCTCCTGAATCACTGGGCCTTTTAAACCCATCCTCTGGCAGGGTTTTGGAGGATCTACCTGCTACCTGTTGGTGGCCTTCATAGTGAACGATCCCCACATGAGGATTCAAGGTGGTGAACGGGTAGGAAGCCACAGCAGGCTTTGCATTTGAAATGGCTCGAAGGAGAGACGATTTCCCAGCATTGGGGAAGCCAACCTAGAAGAGAAAAAGTAAAAGTGCTATGTGACCTCATGGAGGGACATGGCTGGCACAGATAGAGGACTGGTGACCTCATGGAGGGACATGGCTGGCACAGACAGAGGACGGGTGACCTCATGGAGGGACATGGCTGGCACAGATAGAGACTGGGCTGGGAAGGGGAGTGTGCAGGCACCTGTTTGTCAGCAGCACACACAGGGGATGAATGAAAACTGCTGTCCTCTCAAGGGTAGCAGCACTCCCCACCAGCAGGGACCCCCCACCTCAGAATGTGGCAGTCAAGGACCTACCATCCCAGCATGCGCCACTGTCTTGAGCTCCAGGTAGAGGACCCGCTCCTGACCCGGTTGTCCAGGAGTACAAGTTACAGGGGCACGGTTGTCATTGGTCAGAAAAAAGCGATTTCCTTTTCCTCCTGCACCCCCCAGTGCAGCGACGTACTCGTCCCCTGGGTGAGACAGGTCAGCCACAACCTCACCTCCCTCTTTCACCAAGGTACCCACAGGAACCTGAAAAGCATCATCATCATGAAGTTCTGTAACCAGCCAGAAGGAGGAGGGGTGGGACACTGCTAACTACTCTCCTCAGTCACTACAACAGGAAATGTTCCGGCCCTGAGGAGATTTTACGGGCCTAGTCTTGTGCTCCATACTGCATAAATAAGCTGTCACAGCAACACTTGCCTCTAGCACTCGGGGGCTGAGGCAGGAGGATTACAAGTTCAAGGGCAGCCTGGGCCACACAGTGAGGCCCTGTCACAATAGCAAACACTCGCCTGGAAGTGTTTCTATAGTATCAGAATTAACCAAGCACCAGGGAACCAGCCCTGTGTGAGCATGCCACCCTCATCCAGACTTGGGAAGGGGGTATGTTCTTGGCTTCCTCTTTTGGGTCAGAAGCAACATGGCACACCAGTGCAAAGGAGTCTGTGTGGGGTGTGACTCCTACGACAGACCACTGTCCACTTGCTGGACGCCTTCTGTTCCTACCCAGGCGCTGGTACTCACCCATTGACTCAGTGATAGGGCCCAAGGGAATAGTGGTCATTCCACCTCCTCAGCTCACCTGGATGTAGAGGATGGCACCACCTCGTCCAGAGCAGTTTTTACTGCCACCATCTTCTCCACTGAAACCCTGGTACCGGGACAAGACTGAGGACAAGGACTTCACCTGCCGGTCAACTAGAATGAGAACAGAATCCTCTGTGTGTTAAGACACAGCCAACACAGTGTCACGCCGAGGACAGCGGCCTCGCACTTATTACCCTTGCCCTCCCCTGGTCTGGGCATATGGCTGGCTCCCCACACTCTCCATTATCCTAACCAAAATAGAATATGACCTTTTTTAGACAGAATTTTATTATGCATCCTATTAGCCCTGGCTGACCCGAAACTTGCAACAGGAAGGCATCACCATATGAAGCAAATATGACTACCATCAATTAAAAAAACAAAAACAAAAAAGTCACCTAAGGGGCTAAAGGGATGGGCCAGAGATTAGGAATATTGGCTGCTCTTCCAGAGGACCCAGGTTTGATTCTCAGCACCCAATGGCAGCTCACAACTGTCATAATACCAGTTCCAGGAGATCCAATGGCCTCTGTGGGGCACATATGTGTAGACACACAGACATACACTTAGGCATAGCACCCATACACACAAAATGAGAATAATAAAAGAAACCAGCTAACTTCATTATGCTATAAAGATGCCTGCACCAGCTCCCGTAGTATTCACACCAAGCATGCGCTCAGTAGAACCCAGGCCCTCTGCTGTACTTTCTGACCCTGTCACATGTACTATCATCCAAAGTCACTTGCCTTAGTACACTGGTGATGAGCAGCCATATAATTCATAAAAATGATATCTACACATCAGGTGTGAATGCAAAAGCATGACAAGATAAGACAGTGGATGCTCCAATTACTATGTGAGGCTATTTTGTTGTCTCCTCCCCAGCTGCGCCCAGGGCACATGCCTCTCAGGATGATATGGCCACCATTTCCGCCATCCCCGCCATCAGGGCCTCCGAACTCCTTGCGGGGCTCACTGTGGAAACAGCTTATGCCGGAGCCTCCGTTTCCTCCACGGACCAGCACTCTCCGGTGATCCACAAAATGTCTTTTCTACAGAGAATATAAGGCACCCAGCGATGTTAGCAACCCTGAAACCTTTCCAGGAGACACACATATGTGCAGGCAAAACACCCATACACGTTAGTACCCCCTTGGTACAAGCCCCTCTACCAGCATCAGAGCTTAGCCATGTTAACATGGCCTTTCCAGGAGACACACCCATACACGTTAGTACCCCCTTGACACAAGCCCCTCTAGCAGCATCAGAGGTTAGCCATGCTAACATGGCTCTCATGGAGCTCTCCAAAGTCACTGGTGAGGCCCAGCTCCCAGAGGTCACCAGCACCTGTGGGCTGACGCAAATCACTGCCGACACAGTGGGTGTCTGGTATGGCATGCACACTTCAAAAGGGAACTCAGAAATTCTAACCTGGAGAGCACAGTTTGTTTAGGAAATGTTTCCTGAACAAAGTGTCCTTCCAGCTTCTTTCAGACAGAATTACATTGTTAAAACACCAGCTCTGTCTTTACCAGTGGAAAATGCTGCTGCTGAGAAAGGAATGAGGTGGAGTTCTTGGACAGTGCCCAGGCTCTAGCTATGAGGAAAGACGACTCTCCAGTGGTACCACCTGAGGGCTGATGTGTGCAATGCAGGAAGGGAGACAGACCCTTCTCAGGAGGGCCCTCTTTAGGCTCTTGATACAGTAAAACTAGCCAGCGGGGCTGGAGAGATGGTGCAGCAGTTAAGAGCACTTGCTGCTGTTGCAGAGAAACTGGTTCCAATTCCCAACACCCACATGGCTCACAAACATCTGTAACTCCAATTCCAGGGCATCCAAAAGCCCTCTTCTGATTTTTGTAAGCAGCAGGTATGTTTGTGGCACACATACATACATGTTGGCAAAACACTCACACACATTGGTCCACACCAGCTCATCCTTCAGCTGGAGCCCCTCCTCCTTTCCCAGCATTGGATTTTTAAACATTTATTTATTTTATGTGTGTATGTGTGTGTGCCTGACTATATGTATATGCACCATGTATGTATAACACCTGTGCCAGATCCCTGGGAACTAGAATTACAGGTAGTTGTGAGCTACTCTGTGAGTGCTGGAAACTGAACCCAAGTCCTCTGTAAGAATAATAAATGCTCTTAATGATGACAGAGCCATTGATTGCACCAGTCCCCAGGACTGGGTTGTTTTTAAGGAAAAAAGACGCCCAGCCTGGCAGAGCTCAGCAGTACAGCATTTGCTCATCATATTTAAGGCCCTGGATTTGATGCTTTGCACCACAAAAATAAATAGTCTCCAAAAAGAAACATCCTAGGATCCCTCCGCAGCATGAGGAAAAACATTAGCTGCTACTTTGAAACTTTGAAACGATGCAAGTTTGTGCTGTGCCAACAAAGACTCTACCTCACAGGAAAGAGCACAGGCTGAGCACCACCAGGAAAGATTCAAAACAAGCACGAGCGGCCAGGAGGGGAGAACCCTGGAAACCTAGGTGCTATGCCCCTCAGCCGGGCTGCAGAGGTTCTTTTCCCTAAGAAGCATGGCTTTTCTCAGCTGCTCACCTAGAGACCCTCCACTAGGAGGAAATGAGAGAGCCCTAATGTGTAACTTCTTTAGTCAAAGGTTCTGGCAAACAGAATAAAAACTTTCTGTAAGGGCTGGGGAGAGAGAGTCAGTAAAGAGCCTCCACGCAAGCATAGCATCCTGGGTTTGATCCCCAGTGCCCACATGAAAGTACCAGTGTGGTGGCATGCGTTGTGATCCCCATGCTCCCCCAGAACCTTATAAAAGTGCTGGCGTGGCCAGGGGTGGTGGTGCACACCTTTAATCCCAGGACTCGAGAGGCAGAGGCAGGCAGATTTCTGTGAGTTCGAGGCTAGTCTGGTCTACAAAAGCTAGTTCTAGGACAGGCTCCAAAGCTACAGAGAAACCCTGTCTTGAAACACCAAAAATAAAAAAAAAAAAAAAAAAAAAGCAATTTAAGCGCTGGTGTGGTGGCATGTGTCTGTCCCTGAAGCTCACTGGCAGCCAGTCGCTACAGCAAGATTGGAGAGCTCCAGGCCCATCAGAGACTCCGACTCAAAGGAAGCAGATAGTGTTCTGAGGATGACACAGAGATGTCTTCTGGCCTTCATATACACAGCACCTGCATACGCGCATGCACCTACATAATTATACAAACCAACAACTTCTTGTTCACTATAAGTCTTAAAGAACTTAAACTAAAGATATACCCAGTCCCCAGGTTACTCAAATGAAGTAAAAATACTTTCAGGAGACCTGGGCATGGTGGCACATGCCTGAATCCTCCACGAGGGAGTGTAGTGGCATTTCAATTATATTTTAATAAGTAAAGCTTGTCTGAAGATCTGAGAGTAAAACAGCTCCCCTGGACAACCTTACAGCCAGCAGCAATGATACAACCTTTAATCCCACATTACTTACCACAGAAACTGGGCAGTGCATGCTTTTAATCCCAGAACTAGAGAGGATTATAAAATGGGAGGAAACAGCTCTCAGACAAAGTCTCATTCTGAGATTCCTGGAGGTAGGAACACCATTTCGGACTGAGGTTGAGATGAGAGCCAGTGGCTGGCTGCTTGCTTTTTGGGTCTTCAGGTTGTTTTATTTATTAAAATACAACTGAAATGCCACTACATGGAGACAGGAGGATGAGAGCTTAAGGTCATCCTCAGCTCCACAGGGAGTTAAAGGGTACCTGAATGACATGAGTCCCAGTCTCAAAAAACTAAAATAAGGTTTTAGGGATTTACTTGCCTAGCATGCAAAAGGCCCTGGCTTCTATCCCTAATACCTTAAACCAACCAATCAAATCAGGCCCTAACTCCACCTGGCCTTGACTTCTCCTAGGCTGCTGTGTTGCTGGCAAGGGTTTGGCACACAGGCCTCCCCTTCAAGAGCTCCATGCAACCCTCAGTAGCACAATGAAGACAAGTCATGGGGGGGGGGGGGGATAAAGAATGCAAAGGCTGCGCTGGAGAGACAGCTGAGAAGTTAAGAATACTTGCTGCTCTCCAGAGAAGTCATATTTGGATCATGGCACCCACACCAGGTAGTACACAACTGCCTCTAACTCCAAGGGATCCTACCCTTTACTCTGACCTCCACAGGGATGTGTGCGCATGTGTGTGCATGCATACACACACACACACATGGGAGAGAGAGAACTCAAATGTGTCTTCCCTAGGCTGAGACTCACCAGTTTTTTCTCTGACAGCAGCTTCTTTCCAGGGGCCTCCCGGTGCTTGGCGTGGTCTTTAATGCCCAAAGAGAGCAGTCGAGATGATGCCTGCAGAGCATGGAGCTGGCTGGGCTTGAGGGAAGCCCATGTCGATGCAGCCCACTCTGAAACACCAGACACAGCGGTGGACCTCGCCAAGACAAGTCTGGTAGGTATCATGGCCCTAACAAAAGTCAGAAGGCTCCAGTAAGACACTTGGGTTAAACATGAACTTCTGACAAGAGCTAGAGCAGAGCCTGGCACGTGGTAGAATCCTCATGGCAGAATGGCGTCAGGAAAAACAAGAAAAGTGATGGACTGAGCTGCTGACCCCAAAGTCCATCAGCCTGTCTGCACTCAGGCCGGGATCTGTGCACACAGGATTTAGATAATTGAATCTCTTACAATGGTGAGGGAATCTCCCTGGAGAATTGAAGGTGCCTGCTTGTTGAGATTATTAAAAGGGAATCTAAACCTCAAGTCCGAATTTCTCCAAAGTAAAAACGGCCATTTATTGAACTGTTATTGAAGAGTGTGCTGTGCTCTTGGGCAGATTAAAACTGTTAAACAGGAACACAAGAATACTGGACAATGGCAACACACACCCAGACAGATGTCACTTTGCCACTTTGCTGGGATGACCTAGGGAAGGTCACACAGCATTGACTCAGCCTCCTCCTCTGAAAGTGGAAAGGCTGGGCAAGGACAGACCAACCCACACTGTGCACTGTGCTTCTGTCCTGTGAACACAATGAATGGCATCTCGTGGTCTCGGTCCTCTGCTCCCCGGGGACACAGCTCCCATCCTTTCAATTTCCTGAGAGATGAGAGTGATGGGAGCATCTGACCCACAGCCACCGAGCCTGAGTGGCTTCTGCTCTAATGAGGTGGTGTGGGCGCCTGCAGCTCCAGGGTGAGGACCAACTCCCACCACACCCTGCACCAGGAAAAGCAGCTAGGGATGTAAAGCCATGCTTCCATGATAGCACACCCACAAACCATTTGGTTACAGAAGGGCTGGGCTGCTGAACACACAGCGCGATGGGCCATACTCTGGTGCCACAGGGAGAGACACTCCAGTTCAAGGGCCTCTCTGTCTTACTACGTCACAGGGACCTAGGGAGGCACCCTGATTCCTGCTCCTTTATCCACCACCAGTTTATTAATTTTATACAGGCACGTTTCCTAGGTCAATCCACGAGCTATTGGCAGTAGTCTGAGATTCCAGCTGTTTCTGGTGTGGCCAGCAGAAGTTCATCCTGGAGTTTCAGGTCCTCTTGGCTTGTGCTATGGGTCTCAGCACCTTTCCATGTCCACAGAGGCTCAGCCTCCTTCAGGAGCCCTGGGACCCACATCTAGAGGTTGTGTGACACTGTTTTGTCCCCTTTGATGGATACAGCTAGGAGTGTCCAGGCACCCTGGCTTCTCCTTCACACTCCACACTTACACTTTTTGCCAGGTCTACACCTGTCTGCCTGCACACACTAAAAGTTCACATAGTGTTGTGGCTTCAATAAAAATGGCCCCATAGGCTTATAGGGAGTGGCACTATTGGAAGGTGTGTCCTTGTTGGAGAAAGTGTCACTGGGGGTGGACTGTGGCTCACTCTCTCTTCCTGCTGCCTGCTGATCTGGACGCAGAATTCTTAGCTCCTCTCCGGACCATGTCAGCCTGCATGCCACCATGTTTCCCACCATGAGGACAATGAACTAAACCCCTCAATTGTAAACCAGCCTCAATCAATTAAATGCTTTCCTTTATAACAGTTGCCATGGTCATGGAGTCTCTTCACAGCTATAGACTCCAACTGAGACACATATCCACTCCTGCAGTCTAGTATTGCCCAAAAGCTTTCTGTCTTGGTGACTTCCTTTCTCCTTATGGCTTTTCTTTATGTGTCCAGTAGCCAGCCTAACCTCATGGCCCATTCCCTCCTCTCCCATGCTGGGCTGCCACTTATGGGATACTCTTCTCCTCTTACCTTTCTATTAAAGTCCCCTCCCCCCAATACAGGGTTTCTCTGTGTATCCCTGGTTGTCCTGGAATTCACTCTGTAAACTAGGCTGGCCTCCAAGTCAAAAGTTTTTTTTTTTATTTATTACTATATTTAATAAATGTGGGTGTCTTGTCTACATGCATGTGTAGTACATGCATGTATTACATGTGTATCTCGTGCTTGTGGATGGAGAAGTGGATTTTGGATCCCCTAGAATTGGAGTTACAGACAGCTGTGAGCTGCCAGGTATGTCCCGGGAATGGAATCCTAGTTTTCTGGAAGTGTACAGACATACTTTTAACCACTGAGTCCTCTGAAAAGTTTTTTGTTTTTGTTTTAATTTCTACCAATGCCAGGGATTGAACCCGGGGCCCACACATTCAAGAAAAATGCTCTACCACTGAGCTACAAGCCCTGTCCAGGAAAGTATTTTATTTTTTAAGTAAATTACTTTGGAATGAGTAGATTTACAGAGAGGTGACAAATATCCTTCACATGTGGGACTCTAAGACTCACTCAATAGCTTGTGTCAACGGACATTATTTCTTATTACTGTTTTCTGAGACAGGGTTTCTCTGTAGCTTTGGAGCCTGTCCTGGAACTAGCTCTTGTAGACCAGGCTGGCCTCGAACTCACAGAGATCCGCCTGCCTCTGCCTCCTGAGTGATGGGATTAAAAGCATGCACCACCACCGCCCGGCTTATTATTATTTTCTGAGACAGGGTTTCTCTGTGTAGTCCTGACTGTCCTGGAACTGTAGACCCAGCTGGTCTCAGACTCAGAGATCCACCTGCTTCTGCCTCCTGAGTACTGAGACTAAAGGTGTGCACCACCATTGCCTGGCAACCAAACGGACATATCTTTAAAGATTCAAATAAAGAATAACAAACAGCCCTACATCTCCTCGAGAAATTGCATTTTCCAGGAAACAAGAGTCCCAAATTTCAGACTTGGTGGTAAATTCCTGGTAAATGCTATCAAGAAATAACCCCAAATTTACACATACTAGATCACTATCCAATCCACTTTATGAGGTCAGTGTAGCCAGAACCAAAACCCAGGTTTCACAGAAAGTAAAATTAGAGGCCAGTAACCAGCAGGGTCTGGTGTGAGACCATAAGGCCACCTCTGCTGCTGGGTCCCAGCTGGTGTGCCATGATACATATGCCACCCAGTAGGGAAACCAATGTCTTAGCACAGGAGGGACAAGAGGCCAGGCCTAAGCATGCCACACTTTGTGTGAAAGCATGAATGGTACCCGAGACTTAGGGGGAGGCAGGGATGCCCATGCTCACGCCTGCAAACTGGCACTTATGAGGATGCCGTGGGGGCAAGGGACGGCTCAGTGACTAAGAATGTGCACCCGCTCTTGCACAGGACCCATATTCAGTTCCCAGCACCCGTGTCAGGCGGCCATTTGTGACCCCAACACCTTGTACTGGGCTCCAAGGAAATTTGCTCTTGGTGTACATATCCACAGATAGACAGACAGACAGACAGACAGATAGACAGACATATATATATATAAACACTAAAAAAAATCTTAAAAAAAAAGAGGGAGATGTAAACCTGTTAAAATGTGCAGGAGAGAAGACTGCACAGAAAATCCCAGGAAAGCTTACAAGACCATCTGCAGGGTTGATTTAGAATGCCAAGTATTCTTATATGCCAGCAGCAAAGAATTAGAAGTGAAAATTTAAAAAAACCAAAACTGGCCAGGAAGTGGTAGTGCTCGCCTTTAAACCCAGGAAGTGGTAGTGCTCACCTTTAACCCCAGGAAGTGGTAGTGCACGCCTTTAAACCCAGGAAGTGGTAGTGCTCACCTTTAACCCCAGGAAGTGGTAGTGCTCACCTTTAACCCCAGGAAGTGGTAGTGCTCACCTTTAACCCCAGGAAGTGGTAGTGCTCACCTTTAAACCCAGCACTTGGGAGGCAGAGGCAGGCAGATCTCTGTGTGAGGCCAGTCTGGTTTACAGAGTGAGTTCCAGGACAGTCAGGGCTACACAGAGAAACCCTGTCTCAAAAAAGCCAATCAATTAATACTAATAATACTAATAAGCAATCCCCTTTACCCAGTGATACATATGAAAAGCACTTGAAGGTAAATTAAAAATACATTTCTAAAAAGGTATTTTATGAGTGTTTTGTCCACATGTATGTATGTGCACCACATGAACGCCGAGTGCCTGAGGCGCTCAGAAGAGGGCTCGGATCTCCTGGAACTGGAGTTCTGGATTCCTGTGAACCACTGTGTATTTTGGGAATTGAATCTGGGCCCTCTGTAAGAGCAATAAATGTTCCTAACCACGGAATCACCTCTCCAGTCCACTTGGAGATAAACTTAGTAATAAACAAGCCAGATGTAGTAGCTGATGCCTGCAATCCCTAGCGCTCAAGAGGGACTCCTGAGGAAAGCAGGACTTCCTGGGGTTGGAGGCCAGCTAAGGTTCCAGGTGACAGAGCAAGACCCCACCTAAACATAAAACAGCCAGGCCTGATGGTGTGCATGTCTAATCTCAGTTACATAGTGTGAGGTCAGTCTGAGATACCTGAGACCCAGCTTTAAAAATCAATCCACCAATCAAACTAAACCGAGCAACCAGCAACCAAATACTCCAGGCCCCTAGTGTACCACTTGCAGAATTCTGTTTTTTTAACAGTGGTTTCCAGGGATTAACTCATTCTGTCTACTTAAAAATTCTATAAAGCAATTTATTTTATTATCCCCATTTTACAGAGGAAGACACGAAAGCAAAGAATAGGAATGTAACCTGCCGAGGTCCTAAGGTAGTGGATGAGAGGGGTAGGGTGGAGTAGGAACACATAGGTTAAAGGGAAAAGCAAAATTCCTGAATCTGCTGTGGGCACCTGCTGGCCACTAGCAGCTAAATCTGCAAGGCACAGGCTGTCCACCATCCCAGCACTGGCGGAGCCAAACCCAAATGTCAGGAGCAGCTGCAAAGCCACCTGGAATCGGGCCTGCTTTGGTGTATCGGTTTGGGTTTGGGACAAGGTCTCACCATATAGCCCTCGCTGGCCTGGAATTCACGGAGAACTGCTTGCCTTTGCCTCCAAGCGCTGAGACCAAATGTGTGCCACCACAGCCCACTCCTTTCCAAATTCTCAGTTTGTGTGTAGACTCTGAGTGATGTGGGCCCCGCCAGGGAATAAAGTCAATCTTCTTCCCATTGCTGTTCAGTCTCTCATTGTGTTCCTAATGCTATTTCTGCACCGTCTCATCCAGTGTCTACTAGCCACCTGGGACTCGCAAAGTTAAAATTAAATAAAACGGGGCTGGGGAGATGACTCAGTGAACAAGAATCCTTGCAGTGTAAGCATAAGAACTTGAGTTGGGATTGATTTGTTTAAAAAGCTGGGGTGGCCATGTACATGCATGACAGGAAGCCTGGAATAGGATGATTCAAGGGGCTGCCTGGCCATCTCCAGATTCAGTGACAAATCCGGTCTCAAGAGAACAAGGCAGAGAGTGACAGAGCAGGACACCTGATGTCCTCCTGCCCACACAGGTGCACATGTGTGTACAATGGCACACTCACATGCATGAGCATGAACACTCACAAAAAGGGTAAATAATCAAGTCCAAATGGATCAAAGACTTCAACATAAAGCCAGCCACACTGAACCTTATAGAAGAGAAAGTAGGAAGTACACTTGAACGCATTGGCACAGGAGACCACTTCCTAAATATAACCCCAGTAGCACAGACACTGAGAGAAACAATTAATAAATGGGACCTCCTGAAACTGAAAAGCTTCTGTAAAGCAAAGGACATGGTCAACAAGACAAAATGACAGCCTACAGAATGGAAAAAGATCTTCACTAACCCCACATCAGACAGCGCTCTGATCTCCAAAATATACAAAGAACTCAAGAAATTGGACACAAAAAGACCACACAAGCCAATAAAAAAACGGAGTACAGACTTAAACAAAGAACTCTCAACAGAGGAATCTAAAATGGCTGAAAGACACTTAAGGAAATGTTCAACATCCTTAGTCATCAAAGAAATGCAAATCAAAACAACTCTGAGATTCCATCTTACACCTGTAAGAGTGGCCAAGATCAAAAACACTGATGACAACTTATGCTGGAGAGGTTGTGAGGAAAGGGAACACTTCTGCATTGCTGGTTGGAATGCAAGCTTGTACAACCCCTTTGGATATCAGTGTGGCGATTTCTCAGAAAATTAGGAAACAACCTTCCTCAAGACCCAATAATATTACTTTTAGGTACATATCCAAAGAATGCTCAATCGTGCCACAAGGACATGTGCTCAACTATGTTCATAGCAGCTTTGTTTGTCATAGCCAGAACCTGGAAACAACCTAAATGCCCCTCGATCGAAGAATGGATTAAAAAAAAATGTGGTACATTTACACAATGGAGTACTACACAGCAGAAAAAAATAACGACAGCTTGAATTTTGCAGGAAAATGGGTGGAACTAGAAAACATTATTTTGAGTGAGGTAACCCAGACACAAAAAGACAATTATCACATGTACTCACTCATAGGTGGTTTTTAAACATAAAGCAAAGAAAGCCAGCCTACAAATCACAATTCCAGAGAACTTAGACAACAATGAGGACACTAAGAGAGACTTACATAGATATAATCTACATGGGAAGTAGAAAGTATAAAAAGAAAAGATCTCCTGAGTAAATTGGGGGCATGGGGACCTTGGGGGAGGGCTGAGGGGGGAGGGGAGAGACAGGGAAGGGAGCAGAGAAAAATGTAGAGCTCAATAAATATCACGAAAAAAAAAGAGCGCTCTGCCATTAAAAAAAGAAAAAAAAAGAGTAAATAAAATGTAAGTACCTAGTCTTTCAGTGCCACAGGCCACACAGGGCTATACCAGGCAACAAAGCTCAGGACACTGCCATCATAGACAGCCTTAGTGGGCGGGGTCTACCTGGAGCACACTGCAGAGGGAGCCTAGAAGAGTGTGCTCTCTTCCCTTCTGACAGAGCCTCTGCTGGGCCTGAAGCTCGACAGCCAGATACTTTAAGGCTATACAGCAGGGCTTTCACAAACAAGGAGAATGGACCGACAGTTTTCACACACAGCTGCTATCCAGGATGCTGAGTTCCTGGCTACTGTCTGCAAAAGGTATTGCCAGGAATCTTCTGTACTGATTTTACACTGTATTGATTGAATTTATTGTGTAAGTGGGACATGTCACAATATCTCCATTGAGGAAAAAAAAAGCATCCTGGGAAAGGGGATATAGTTCCGTTCCGTTAGTAGAATGCTTGCCGGTCTAGCATGCACAAAGCCCTGGGAATGATCCCTAGAGTCACATGAACCAGTTATGCCAAGCCAACACTTACCCGTGTTCTCAGTGCCCAGGAGAGTAGGAAGATCAGAAATTCAAGGTCATCCTTTATTGCACAGCAAGTCCAAGGGCAGTCAGGTAGCCAGAGAGACGTGAAAACCTGTTTTAGAGAAAGAGAGAACCACTTGAGAAACATTTCCATTTCTTGTGTTGTTCTTTCATAGGATAATCACCTGAAGCATGGGATATGCTTACCCAATACTTATCCTTCAACTTGGTTCATAGTACTTACAGTTAACTAACTTAATTCTAAGCATTTCATTTCCATTTTATTACAGGATATTAAATCCCACGGGGGCATTACTGTTTCTGCTACACACTGTTACGCTTCATTACATATATTTGTGATCTACTTCGCTTTTCATGTGGAAAATGTTTAGAAACTGGATTATTTTGTCACTTGACAATGCACATTACATTTTCTTTTTCACTTAATTACATGTCAGTCACAGGAGAAAAAAAAGTGTCCCTGCTGTGTGTGGTGGCATATGCTTTTAATCCCAGCACTCGAAGCCAGACAGGCATCTCTTGAGTTCTGGGCCAGCCAGGGTTACATAGGGAGAGCTTGTCTCAAAAACAAAATAAAGCCATGTGTTCCTTCCAACAACGCTGCTGTCTGGCGCTTGCACTAAGGGTTCTTGAGGGGCTTTTCATTAGAGCAGACTGGAGGGACAACTGCCTCCTTCCCCAGCACTCAAGGTCGCCAGGAGGGGTTCCTGCGCCAGCAGGGAAGCCCCTGACAGCTCCGGAACAACTGTTCCCTAGTCTAGTCCTTCAGGCTCCTGCGTAGAACAAACTCTGGCCAAGTACCAGCACAGATGCATCTCTATCGGTCCTCAGTGAGCAGAATCCTTCTTTACCTGGTTTTAAAAAAGAAAGAAAAAAAAATGCTCCCACAAAGCAGCAGAGGCTGGTATTCAGGATAAGTCAACTGCCGGAGTGAGGCAGCACACTGCAGCGCCTGCATCTTACAAGCGAGTCTCGACCCGAGGCACGCACCCATAAACGCTTTCCAAAAGACTGGGCGAGGGGCAGTTTCTGCCATTGCTTTCTGTTCACGGTCTCACTATGCAGCCTAGCCTGGCCTCGAACTCCTGGAAATCCTCCGGCCTCAGCTTCCCGGCATGCGCCACCACACTCTAAGGGAAGGGCACGTCTCCAGAAACCAGCGTTGTGGCGCTCGGGGTGAACCAGTCATCCCCACTAGAGCGTTGGCCAGTGAACACAGACCTCGCCGCCCAGCCAGCCCTCAGTCTCAGAACACACACCGGGGAATAAAAAACTCCACGCTCGCACCCACCGGCTCCGGGCAGCTACGCCATCCGGCTGAGCAACTGCTTCCGGGTCGAGCTCCGGCAGCGGCTGCGCAATGCACCTGCGCGCAAACGCGAAAGGCGCGGCGCCGCCCCCAACCCTCTGCGGGCGCCGACGGGCGTCTTCCGATCGTGTCTGCAGCTCGGCCACTCAGGAGGCCGAGGCAGAAGGATCGCCGTGAATTCCAGGGAAAAAAAACAGTGTGGGGAGCACGCCTGTAATTCTAGCCTCTGGGTTAAAGGCAGCCAGGGATGCACGGTTGAGTCTGTCTCAAAACCAAAACCAACCAACCAAACGAAAAGGGGTCGAAAGGAGAGAGGTGTTTTCAAACTGTGCTGCGTTCACAAATAACAAAGCGGATTTAACCTGCTCGATAATCAGTAATGAAGTAGTGGCTAAAAAATGTTTTAATGGAAACGGAAAGTCTTCCTTTTTTTACAATTTCGAATGGACGCTCGTTACTGAAGCCCATGTCTGAAAATGGGCACGGACAGGAAAAGGAGTCACTTCTTCCCGGTCCAGTGGAGAGGCGTCCATCCAACCACAGCCCCCGACGTGGGGCTTCAAGCACATCTGAAAACCTCAATCATCGCTGGTCAAGTTCACCAAGTGTTGGACGGGTGCTGGGAAACAGGAGGAAGAATAAGCAGCGATTCCCAAATCTCCCACTTCACCTTTTCTGGCCTTCGGTAGGAGGAGTCATTAAAAAAAAACTGCACAGTCAACCACACCTGCATGAATGGTTCATTTCGGCTAGGACTTCCCGAACATTTATGTTACAGAAGAAAAAGCTGTAATACAGTCAATGAAAAAGAACTGCTGGCATTACTGTTCCCCACAAAATTACATAAAAATGAACAAAACATTAAATAAACATTATTATTAATCATTAAATATATTAACACCAAAATCATGTATAAATTAGGAAATAAATGTACAAACTATTTCACAAAGTGCTTTTAAAAATATATACACAACATTCAAGAAATTCTTAATGTAAGACATTTCAGATTGAAGTTTTGGGGTGATACATTTTTTTAAGTGTCCTTTTCTTTCAAAAAGTATTAACACAACACTTACACACACACACACTAATACAGTCATTAAACATACACACATACTAATACAGCACTTAACACACACATACACGCTCACACACACGCAAACATACATGCACACACACACATAGAAGGCATATTCCCAGATTGGCAAGGAATAAAAACCATTTTCACAGTTACTTAAAATGTTTCGACATTTTCAATGGGAAATTTTAGGCCCCAATTGAGCTTGTAGACGAGTTTTATAAAAATTGCCAGAAAAGAAAGGAGCAAAAGAGATGACTCCCTAAAATGAAGTTGCCAAATACTTGTGTCACTTAGCAATCAGAAACTCATTTCTGTAGAGTTAATACCATCACACAGCCAGCCTTGCCTGTGTTAAGGGATTCCTACACCCTAAGCTTACGAGACACATCTGCCCACGCTTGTTGGTGTCAGTCCCAACAAGAGGAGAGGGAGAATGTTCCAGACTAGGACTGTAGCCAACACAGTCCACTCCTTCAGTCTTCATCTGTAAGTGAAACAGTCCTTGCTCTGTACTTCCCAGGAAGGCTGTCAAGATTAATTCAAGTAAAACCCACAAAAGTGCCTTGTAAATCCTCACCCACTGAGCTACCGGTAAGTTTTGTGTTTTAAAAACTATCAAGTGAACCACCAGGTGTGCATGCCTGTAAACTCAGTAATTGGGAAGCAGAGGCAGGAGGATCATAAACTCAAGGTCAGCCTTAGCCGTGCAGTGAGTCTGTGGCAAGTCTGTGACCTTGTCTAAAAATACAAAGAAAACAAAAGCATCATACTGGATAGGCATGATGCATCAGGCCCTGGATCCGTGCGTGTGTGTGTGTGTGTGTGTGTGTGTGTATTTGTACCTTCTTGGTTGTTCTTAGAAATACACCAGCACTTATCTTGAAGGTTTTTTCCCCTTTCCATAGTAACATGATTATAATCCAAATAAAGGCTGAGAGATGCCAGTGCTACATTATATGTGGTATTTTCCTTTGACCATAACTTTCCAAAAAAGGCTGTTTCTCATGTTTTGCACAGAATTAAAATGAGAATGAACATCCTAGAGATGTAAAGAAAAAGGAAAATCACTCAAATTTCACTATATAAAACGTGTACTTTTCATTTAAAAGAACGTTAATAAAGCTATTTAGACTCGTTAAAGATATGGTGTGGATTTCAGATTTTCCTAATGCAAAGGAACACTTGCTTGGCAATCTGAACTTGGAGGTCCTGAAGAAGTAACAAAAACACTTGCCAACTGCTTGTAAAACTCAGCAGTGGTATTTTCAATTCTCCTTAAGTCTAGGACTGGGCATACGACATTAAATAAACAACACAGCTGGTGGACAGTGAGCCTTGCTCTTCAGAACACTGCCCTCCCTAGGACAGGTCACCCTCACACTGCCCTCATGGTCACTGATCCCTCTTCATCGTTTAAGACATAGACTTTTTAGGAACACGAGGAGTGGAGAGACACAGGAAATGGGTAAGTTCTAGAAAGGATTGCTCACCGTCTTTCCACACGAAGCACATTTTCTTTGTTACAATGACACACGAAACTAGCCCAAGACACAGGCGATATCCCCAAGCCCTATCTAGGCACAGGAAGAGATGGCCACCCAGGGTTGTGTATATGTGTGTCAAGCTAAGGGCAGTCAGGTAAAGAAACACTTACAGTCCACTTTGCAACAAGGGTGTGAGGAGCACACTGGGTCTGTTCACAGTAACATGGATCATGGTACCTTTTAGATATCGTCTCATCACTGGGCACAGAACATGTGATGATAGTATGACCCCCCCCCAGAGCTAGCTAAGAACATTGAGGAGGGGGTGAGGGACAAAAACAGGACAACCTCTCCATCGTATCGATATACAATACTTTACACAGCACCAAATATGTCACACCATTGCAGCCAGTAGTGCACGCGTAGCATCATACCCAGCATGAAATCAGCCTGCTTCACATGCAGACATGGCACTGGGCGCAGCGTAACCAACATGTCATGACTCATCAGAACTGCCACTGGCTTGTCCAGAACGTACTACCGTGAAGGGTCCAAAGACAATGCTCATCCCTTACTGCTGGTAATTTCCATACTGGCCCTAAAAGAGAACAAGACAAAGATTATACCTCTTCAGTCTTCAGTGGCAGGGTGTACACCCAAACAGGAAGTTTCTTCCCATAGCCAGACCCTGGATCACAGGTGGGAAGTGACTTCATAAGCAAGCTAGCTAACAGTCTGCCCAAATCCACAAAGTGAGAGGTAGCCCTTCTCCAATGCAAAAGTATCATGGCTTGGTTTTTTGGTTTTTTTTTTTTTGTTTCTTGAGACAGGGTTTCTCTGTACAGCTGCTGTCCTGAACTCTGGAGACCTGGCTGGCTTTGAACCCACAGAGATCCACGCCTCTGTGTGCCACCACCACGGTGCCCTGCCAGAAGAATCATGTTTCAGCCTGGCAGTCACGCCCCACCGTTTTCCCCAGCTGGGACAATCATTTAATGACTTGATTTGTTTTCATCAGCTTTGCTCAGAGGCAGGTGCTGGAGGACAACCCTTCTGCTCTTGTCGGTTGATAATAAATCTGCTTTGGCCTACAGTGAGGCAGGAAAGCCACACTGAATACAGGGAGAAAGACGGGCGGAGTTTAGGGGGATGCAAGCCAGTCTGGTAAAGGCCGTGGCCACGTGGCAATACACAGATTAATGAAAATGGGTGTGGAG